ATATTTCTTCGTAAGATCCCCGAACGACTTACGGACTATGAATAAGCAGGACAGGTGACAGGAGGGGGGGCGGCGAGGCGGTTAAATGTAGCGGCGAGAAACGACGGGAGTGGGCAGACGGAAAAGTGGAGGGAGATTATTGTGGGAAATAATGTGAAAATTTATGGTGGGGTGGCAGCGGCGGGACGGACGCGTGTCTGTGATCGGTTTTCGGGCACATGTGGTGTCGGCGATGCGGGTGGATCAAGGATCTTTTCGGCTTTTCGGCGGATCAGAGATGTTTGAGAGGTAAAGATGTTTGCGAGGATCAAAGATCTAATCCCGCGGCACTCAATGAAGGCACAGTCGTGTACGTGACAGGAGAGAGATAATGTTGCGTGAAGGGTACAGTAAACTTTACCCAGGAGTAGGTCGAGGGTCATACAGTAGGGCTGGGCTGTCCATTGTCACTTGAATAAATAAATTATCTTTTATTTTTCTCAAAAAAAAGTGCCAGTTTGCGTGTGTACACGTGGAAGATATTCAGTACTGTACTGACCAATAGTTGACTATCTAAGGGCTGTTTAATATGCAAAAAAATCCATCACGAGACCAATCATTGCAACAAGAGGCATCTCAAGACGCATCCCACTCTCTTGCCTTCCCGCGCCCTCCCCACACACATGCCCTTTCTCTCGATCTAGTCCCGAGGCAAAGAGAGTCTCTCGTCTCTCAGAGAGAGAGGCAAAGTTCACTCGGGCTACCTCGCCCAACCATCACGACATGGACACTTTGTCCATTTGGGCACGTGCTCCCTCCCCCACTTGTGCGCATGGAAAGAGGGATTGGGCGCGCACACAAACCAAGTGCAAACGCAGACGTAGTGCAATGCACTACGTAATCCGACACCCGGGCCCGCCCGCCCGGGCACTTGTCACTTTTCGCCTTGCATAAATAACCATAACCATAACCGTCCGCTACGCAGCCTGCCGAGTGATCCCATTCCCAATCTTCTAAGGGCGTACCCGCCAGCCGCTGCCCTAAATTTACATCTTGTTGATGTCAACACTGTCAACACTGTCAACAGTGCTTTCTTCCAACCCGGTTTCCTCTGCCTGGTTTCCTCTGCGCAGAAACCGCTCCCCTCTGCACCCTCGCACGTGCGCTGCGGAGCCGCGCGACTTGATTCTCCAACCGCTTGTAAAACATTCCTAAAGTTTCTGTACCGTTCACAGACGCTCCATCTCCTCCCACTCCACTTTCAGCACTCTCCCGCTCTCTCGAAACCTTTTAACCGGGTTGAAGGCCTCAACCTACCGTAGGTAAAGTATTCGTAACACGATGGACAGGCCCTTGCATTGGTTTGGTAAAAGGCTCTTGGTAAAAGGCTCTTGGTAAAAGGCTCTTGGTAAAAGGCTCTTTCCACAGTACTGTAAGCTGTCTCGTGTCGGACGAGGAGATGGTGCTTCTGTGAACGTTCTGTGAACGGCACAGCAGTGACAGTACAAATGTTTCCAACTGCATTACACCTAACAGATGCAGCATGAGGCAAAAGCAACACTGTCGTGCTACAATGTAATGTTAATAATGTTTACCTACCCTCTAAACCAAATGGTTTACAGGTAAATGGTTTACCATTGCTCATCAGTTTGATTCTTATCTGCCTATCTTATCTGCTGCGGTGCTTGTCCGCGGTGCCACAACCAATTCTGAATTCCAGATGCCCACAACAAAAACACTCACCTCTTTACGTCGGACCGTTGCGATACTGATACATCTTCTGTCTCTCACACTACCCTTGGTATCGTAACGGTAAAAGTATGTTACGGTTTGGGCGTGTGTGTATGTGCCGTACACATGATCGCCTCTTCACTGCGGTGCGCCCAGACTTTTGATAGAGCAAACCACCGACGCCGAGGAGAAACCACACTCAGTTACACACATAAATACTGTACTTTTAGGACACGCCACATTCAGTACCGGTCAACCGCCAAGAGCGCAACCGCCAAGAGGAGTCGCCCAGCTTCGCATCATACCGTATGCACTAGAAATACCCTAGTGTATATATATACTGCACGTGCAGCCTTATAATTACCGTTACCAAAAACTCAAAGGACGCTCTGTGTTCCAACTTGCGCCAGTTTTTTATTAATTTATCGCGGCACCAGTACTGTACCAAGGGCACAGACCAGTAGCAGCCCGGGCGATAAGAAACAACGAACGAAGACGAACCCTTACGTCTTCAAAACTCACCTCTCCTCCTGCTACGTATACCGTACCTGTGCCAGAAAAACAGTCCAACACCACCACCGCGCCTCGCGTGCCTCCGAGCGAATCGGAATAAGAAACCGCTCCAGCAGTTAGGGGAGTGTCTTAGCTTGCCTGAGTTTGCCCAGGGATAGATACCCCCGTTTCGCATTCCCCCGCTCCCTCGCCGGCGCCTCGACCGCCACGCGTAACAGACAACCCTGCGCTCCCCTTTCCATCCCCCCCCCTCGCCGACGCGCGCCATCTGTCATGAAAGAAAGCACCGTTCGCTAAGAGCATATCCCAACTTGACACAACCTGCCAGAGGATCTGCCTACATCCACAGCTCGCCACGTCTAGCCACTATTCAAAACACTCATTCAAAACACTCATTCAAAACACTCGTTTCTGACCCACTTGCCCAAACCTTCCTCCCGCCTTTCCAATATATCATAATACTGTACATTATTGCATCAACACATTCCGTGCATCTCTCACACCCACAATCTACTGTGCCTTGTTGCCCTCGTACTACGGTAGACCGACTGCCGTACAACTTGTATCGAGTCCATACCATGCTCCTGGGGGGGTTGACTAACTCACGAGTCTGCCGTGGAGGACAAATAAAGCTATAAACGGGTGGGCACACTCACCACTCATGTCACAAGTCGCCCGTGGGGGACAAATTCTATGGCGTGCACGGGGCAGTACACTCACAACTCTGCCATGCGAGACACATGTACGGTCCGTAAAGTAAACCTTTAACCATACCCAAGGGTATGGTATGCGCGAAACGCATGTGAGTACAGTGCACAGTACTCACGTGTCATCATCAACCTACATCAAAAGCGCTTTGGGATGGCCTCAATATGCATGTCGAGTCGCGCGGGAACCGTTTTCAACACCGTAACCGGTTACTGTACCAACACCGTACCGTTTGCCGTACCCCATCCCAAGGACAACGACTCACCTTTCCGCTCCTCAAACTCAACATTGCCAGAGAGGCAACAATGCGCCAACCTTACTGTGCTTCCCCGTGACCACACCTCTACCCACCTCTCCCCCCTACCATAACTTATATCGCCGAGAGACTCTGCCCCACTCCCAAATTCCATCCGATCCCCCCTGACTCGCCACGCGGCGCGAGAGAGTGAGGCAGAGAGTACGTTAAGCTTTCGCGTGTGCACTGTACGTAAATCACTCCTGCGCACGTACCCCCCCCCCCCCCCCCCCGCCTTTGCGAAACCACCCCCGCTATGTTGGAAATCAACAAACCCTTTATAAACCCCCTCGTTTACACTCGTTACACCCGCCCCTCCCTTGCCGCCGCATCACCATCGCCCCACTCCCATCATGCCTCGTCTTTCCTTAATCGCTCTCATTTCCCTCCTCCTTCTTCCCATCTCACTCTCCCTCCGCTGCGAGCGCCACTCGCATTGCCTCACCGATGACCCACGCCTCGTAGGCCTTTGCGCCCCTCTTCACCGTGCCTGCCTCTCCATCCCGCACGCGAGTCGCCAGTTTTCCGATGTACCAAACTCTGACCGCCCCTACTTCGTCGACCTCGACCAACTGCTCCGAGATGCAAACGCCTTCAATCTCACAGTCCAGGCCAAGCTCGACATCATCGACGCCGCAAAGTTGGTTTACACAAACCTCAACCCGCATCGATTCCTCCACGAGAACTTTCTCAAAGTCGACTTTCCGGCCGCCCTGGACGCCGTCAACCCGACTGAGGAAATGACCAACGTCCAGTTCTACGACAAGATGATCAACGCCTTCACACTCATGGATGACAAGCACACCATCTTTCTCGTACCGCCTCCGTTGAACAGCTCGGCTGCCTTGCTTGGCTTTTCCGTCCGAAAGTTCTACGAAGGCAACTCTACCCAACGCAAGTATCTTGTCGACGACGTTATCTCAAGTATCTTGCCGACGTCTTCTTTCGGCGTGGGAGCCGAGCTTGTCTCCATCGACGGCGTGCCCATCGACGAGCACATTCTCGCCGCGGGAAATGACTCTTATGGTTCCAATGAAGCCGCCAAAATCGACACCGCTATCAACTCCCTCACCGTTCGAATCCTGCAGGCCCAACGCATCCCGGTCAACGCTTCCGTCGACATTGTCTACCTCACCCCAGACCGCACGCAGACTTCCATCACTCTCCCATGGAAGTATGTCGTCATCCCTGACAATTTTCTCCAGATCAACAACATAACCGGTACAGTCCACCCCGCTGCGTACGAGACGCTCAGCCGCTCGCGTGGCCGCGCCACTTTCACAGACGAGGACAAGCGCAAGTTATTCGAGGCGGTCCCCACGCAACCGCTCGACGTGAGCACGCGCATCGTGGTCGAGGGCCGCGTGCCAATCAAGGTGAAGTCCGACTTCGAAGACAACTTCTCCGCGGAGATCATCCTGACCAAGTCCGGGCCGATCGGGCGCTTCGTGATCCCTGATTTCGGAGCGGAAGTAACTCTGGACCTTGCCCTGGAAATCGCGCGCATCCTGCGGCTGATGCCGAAGGTCGGGCTGATCATGGACCTGCGCGGGAACGCGGGGGGGCGGCCGAACTACGTGAAGCTGCTGGCGGAGTCGCTAGTCGCTGAGACCGTGGCGGCCAACCCGACCGTGTTGCGGGCGACGGACGCGATCGCGGCCGCGCTGGCCGCTCTCCTGTCCGAAGGCACGGAGGACATTGAGGAGCTGCTCCCGTTCTTCCAGTATAGAAGCGCGGTGAACACGGCGCTGGCCATCGGGGAGCCGTTCTCCGGCCCGTCGGCAAGCCTGTACGACGCGCGATTCGCGGAGCGGTTCGCGCCGCGCGCGTACTTCGGGCCGGTGGTGACGCTCGTAGACGGGCTGTGCTACTCCGGCGGGGACCTGTTCACGTCGCTGCAGAAGGACTACGGGTTCTCGACCGTGGTGGGCGTGTCCGACAACGTCGGGGCGGGCGGCGCGTCGACGGTGTCGTATTCGGTCCTGTCCGATTTCTTCCCCGAGTTTTTCCCGCCGGTAGCGGCCGGGTTCACAACGGCGTTCGCGCGGTTCTACCGCAGCGGAACGAGTGCCGGTGGGATCATCGAGAACTTTGGCGTGGAGCCGGATGTGAGGTACTTTTCGACGAGGAACGACGTGCTGAAGGACGACTGCGACTTGTACGAGTTCCTTGGGGAGATTTTGACGAGTGGGGACGCGCCCGGCGAGGGGCCCACGGATAACCTGAGCGAATCGCCGGGGCCCGGCGACGGGCTGGAGCCCATGTACACGATGGAGCCCGACGGGCTGCTCGGGCCGTTCGTCTCCGCGGAGCCGGAGGAGATAATTTTTGCTTTGTAATGGTTGGTAGGTCGGGAGCGAATGGATGCGTGGGATGCATTTTTCGTCAGTACCCCCCTAGCGTTTTAGTATTAGGGCAAATAAAGTTATGGCGTACAGCCCTGGAGGTGCCGATCCAACGCTGTACGAAGAAGTGTGTGAATGTGACCTGGTCCTTCCTTTTGCCGGTGGCGTACGTCTGTTTATGAGCATTTCTTAGGACTGCGCAATGCACTCTACCCAAGGGCCGCCGTACTTTTCAATAGCATGGCGCAACAACGAGCATTAATTTTTTTTCCAAGCTCCACAATGCTGTTCTTCTTTTCATTAACCAAACTTTTACCCTTTTGAATCCGTGCCGGACTCACGTGCACTTCTGTACTGTACTATTTTACTTGTACGTGCAGGCAGTATTTCACACCCCTGTTCTCAATGTGCATCGGCCATCAATCTGTGTTCAAAGCAGACAAGAGTCCCAACGGCAGACTGAAAAAGACGGGGAAAAGAAACAGCAGGCCCTAGCTTCTGATCTCCGACACGAGAGAATAGGAAGTACTTCCTTCAGTAATGACGGCAACCATCTCTCACTATTTGTTTCACTTCTGCGGTGGCGGTAGGCGCTTATGTTCGTGCTTCGCCTCCTACGGATGTGTTGCTCACAGTAGATGACAAGAGATGCGGTGAAGGGTGGGCAAAAAAAATTCCCGATAGAAGGACAAAAGGATACCACTTGTATATACAACTGATATCCTTTTGTCCTTCCTGGATATTTTGAAAAAAGTCGCTCAAAGAGATACTTTTGACATAGCTTGAAACCACAAGACGCATCTTGCAGCTATGTAAAGGCCTCTAGTACTGTGCAATGCAGATTTTTAGTGGCTGAAGTCCCCGAAACAGGTGTGTTCATGCCGAAGGTGGTGTGTTTCTGATTGCAGCATCGAAGAAAGAAGCAAAGATAAATACATGAGATGGACGTATTAGTATGATCTGGGCAACAAGCACGCCACGGATGGAAAATTACAATATGAAAGATAGGTCGTCGTGTGAGGTCAGGCGACAGATATGCGAGTAGATGTCATGATACGGCAACAATGCTTGTTTGCCTGATTGTTTTCGTGGAGGGCATCTGTGATCAGTATCCACTGCACAGGAAAAATGAGGGCGTGTGGTGAATGGAGGGTTGCTTGATCGGTGAGGCGTTTGTATAAGACGACAACGCGTCAGGGAGGGTATGGGCTCCATACTCATACCAAGTACAAGTTGTACAGTACTGGGCGGGACCACCTATTAAAGTAGTGACATTTAGTACGAGATATCATACTATCTGCGTTACAGAGGGGGCCGTGGGAAGAATCTGTACAGTATGAAGATGCCTCATTCGGGACTTGGTCGTATTGATATCGGAGGTACAGTACATGTACTAGATTTTTCGAGTCGGACTTATTCGGTGAACACGTTGTTTCTTTAGAACCTTGACGACTCTAGCTGAGATAATATAATGTTAGCTGGCAAAATCCTCATTCCCCCCGTTCACCATGCGATATTGAAACTGCTGTCCATACAGTACAGTGGTCTACAAGGTGTATTTACGCGCCTGATTTCCATTTCGACTAGATCATGAGACGAGTTGACGAGGTCACTTGAGTTTTTATAGCAAGGCTATCTATCGACAGAGGTGGATGCAAATTCTCATGCCGTGATGTCGCGAGATGGTGCAGTACGGACGGACTACATACGGATGTTGCCTCCTATTTGTTCGGGCCTCCGCTGTATTCCTGCCGACATGTCAGCAACAATGCAAGTCTTCGTCGTTGCCATTTTGCATTGAAGGGTGAGCAATATGCGTGACCGAGAGTGAGTTCCTCTCCCGTGTGAGGGGAGAGCTGCCCCAGGTCACACAACTTTATGTCATCCAGTCCGAGACTGGTGGGCGCGATACCGCGCCGTCGTCGAGTGTAGATTACAAATTAATAGTTAAATCTAAAGGGGGGGTGCCCCAATTATTGAAAAAAACGAACTTATTTAATTAAAAAAAGACCCTCCTGAGCTCGGTTTGACGATCTTTTTTTTCTACGGACTCCGTGCGGTGTGTTCTTCACCACAACGTTGCACCGCAATGCCGTCGATGACACAGAAAGCTACAAAGTTGTCACGGACGCGCAGGCAATCACAGGTTTTCTACATGTCAAATTTGCCCTAAATATCGAACAAACAAAAAATTTTATATAAAAAAAAGACACTGTATGTATGAAAATCGACTGCCACGTCACCAGTTTAAGGCCGCTGCAAACCGAGAAACGGCTCAAACTGCCTCCGAATCTCAATTGCCTTCTTGTTCAAAGTACGCCTGCGCGCAACTGCACGTCTCTCTTCGATTGAACGAACGTTCGCATTGAACGCTTCTACAGATAATCCTGCCAAGCGAGCCCCTCGCTGCAACGCCGCACTGCAGCAACGGTCAAATTCCTTCTTTCTCTTAGCACTCCGCCGGGCACGATTCATGGCTAGGCGATTTGCTCTCTCTTCAGAAACTACTTTATTCAAAGCGACACGAGCCCAATTTTCTTGCGCCAGTGCCAAAGCATTGGCCGACATCAGAACGAGGCCCTCTGTAGTGTCTAGATAGCCAGAATGTAAAATCTTGACGTTGGCCCCGATGACAGTGTCCCTTATCTCCATCCGCTTTGCCTCCATTAGCCACCACATCCGGTCCACGTCCATTACCTCTTCCAAATTATCACACCCTGCTGGCCTGGGAGCAGACATAAGCTGCCTCGGATTCATTGGCCAGATCCCCGACTTACGGAAAGAAGTGATGATGTTCTTCCTGCTGAACAATTTTTCGTAGGCATGTTGCAGCATGCCGCAAAAGTCGAATACGTCAAATTTGTCTATACTGTCGCGCGACACCACCAAATCCATTGAATCCCTAAGATACTTTTTGAAAGGCGACAACAGATCGACGTCTAGTGGCTGTGTCTTCCACTGGTATGCGCTGGTAGTGCGTAAACGATTACGTTGTTATGATGTAAATAATTGATGACCTTAAGCGACATATGGGAACGATATCCGTCAAAAATTAGCACTTTCTTATGACCGTTTGGCGTGTGCTGTTGGACATGTTTCACAAAGTGAATGGCCCAGTTGTAAAATATCTCATTATTGACTCTCCCATTTTCTTGACGACACGCCAGGAGGGATTCGGATGGTAAGAAGTCTGCTACGCTATCAGTCGTATTAATGCCATCTCGCACAACCTGACGAAAAGGTAAGCGACTTCCCTTGAATACGAACAAGGGCTTCATGGCATCTCCATTTGCACATATTGCGGGAATCATCGTGACACGATTGACATTCACAAAATGCCCAACTTTTGCATCCCTTGTCCTTGCACGAGTCAAATAAAAATTATCATCAGAAACACCCCTGCAATCTTTTGCCGGAGTTGCCCCAGTTTCGTCGAGGCTCCATACGCACCTCACCTGAATGTTGTTGTCCTTGATACTTCTTTTCTAACGTTGCGAAATGATTTGTCAAAGTCATTGCGTTACACGCCGCATACCGAACTGCTTCTTGACGTAATGGACGCCCCAATTTCAGTTTATCACCATGACGCTTGATAAAAAGGCGCAAACATTTCGGGCCAGGATATGCATTGACAAAAGGTAGCAGCATTTTTCGAGAGGAGGGCACGCGACTCATGAGTTGACTAACAGCTTCCTGAACAAGCTGGCGTCGGAGCGGTAGTCCTTGTTCTGCGTACCGGCATATCATTTCTACAACAAGTTGTTCTTCGAACTCTGTCAATGCCGGGCGTCGTCCTGGGCCGATTTTGATGCGAGTGAGAAGCGGCCCGTCTTGCATTGCTCGATATTAAAGTTTGGTCATGGGTATACGGTGTTTCGCAGCTGCATAGCGGTACGTTGAGCCAGCCCGGACCGCAGACAGTGCCTGTTCAATGTTCCGTTGATTGGGACGTGCAGCTGTGGCGCCCTTCATGGCAGGAGAGAGCGTGCGGAGTCTCGAGACGTGGGAATGCACCGACGTGGGAATGCGCCGTTAGCAGGCGCAAAGGACGTCATGCATAAAAGCATATGGATCATGAACTTAAGCTCCGTGCGGAAAAGAGCGGTAACTTCGTGTCTTCGAGACATGAATTCGAATATCAGCTCGAATTTGCCCGCCCTTTCTGTGACGTTCTTGACAATAGGGTACCAGACACCGCTGAAGCCAATGAGCACATTTGTTTTTAAATTGATCTACGTCGTTTACTGCATTGAGGCATAATAGGGTGAGGAGAGAGGTCTTCTGCTGGCCCGGGCCCGAAAAATGACACTTTTTTCAAATAATATGGGTGTTTCGAACATTAGGGCACTGTTCCATAATTGGGGCGCCCCCCTTTACTATGGTGCGCATACGAAACTCTCACTTTTGGTCCAACTACATACGTCGCCCAATACCAGCCATCCAAGTATGGATGGCGGCGGTCCGGAGCGTACTTATTGGACGAAATGGCTTTCGCCACCTCATGGCCCATGGCCCTATGATATGCCGATCTTGGTACGGTCCTTCGGACATATTCCGATCAACTTAACAACATCACAAACATATTACAGATATTCATTGCTAGAATTCTGACAAACGTCAGAAATTATTCTGGGTAGTACAATGGAGCCCGCCATTTCAGAATTCTGCATAGCAAATTGCAGAAATGAGTTTACGCAGTACTATGAAAATGAGTATTACTTGAGTATTGCTCCCGCTTCCCAGCCCCTTCCCAAGCCCCCCTTCCCAACACGCTTTCCCCTACCTCCTCGCTCACTTTGTGGCAACCGGCGGGTTCGAAGTTCCTCGCGAGCAAGCGTGGACGACGTCTTCGGGTGAGGGAGGCGCGCGCGTCGGGAGGAAGCGAGGACGAGGGTTTCTCTGAAGGGCGGCTCCGTTGGCGATGCTCCCCGATCGGATGATCCCCTTCTCTGGGGATCTGTCGGGGGCTGCCTTCATTATCACAAGGCTCACTGTCGCGCGCGGTAGTGGCATTTCGCTTCGCTCTTGAAACAAAAGGCTGGCAGGGGCCGCTCTCCGTCTCACAGCACTGGGTCCTTGGCCGGGCCACCGATGTGCCTTACACGCCAGAACCCTCCCCCGGACTACACCTAG